CTGAGCCCACTGATTTTTTTTTTTAAAGTTCCAGGTGCTAAGCCATAATGATTTTAAGAGATGGCAAAGCTGGGCCCCTCTGCCAAATGTTACAGGGATTCCTCTTTCTGTTGCCTGTCACCTGTGCCTGTGGTACCTGGCATGGGTTCTGTCCTCTTTGTACTCACTGCATTCTTCCCTTTGGTAGACAGTCCTGCAGGTCTGTTTGGCTCCCACTGTGTCTTTGCCTTTCCTACCCTCCTTAGTGTGGCCTCTTTTCAACATACAGGTGTGAAGTCTGTTCTTCAGTCTTTGTTTTTTGTTTTTTGTTTTTTGTTTTTTTTTTTTTTTCTGGTTATTTACACTGATGGGGATGTATCTAGTTGCATCTGTTGGATGAGACAAGCCTAGGATCTTCCTGTTCTGCCATCTCCCCACAAGTCCTTCCTCTACATTTTTAATATAGTGATGATTAGGATGTGTTCCTGGCATTTAGCATATGGGATGGGGCTTGGGAGGTAGGCTGGCATGGATACTAAATATTCTCTCCTGCATTCAGCAGTCCCATATAAGAAATAATTGTTTGCTCAGTATGGCAGTGATATCACTGATTGAGTGATGCTGACTTTTTGATTGAGAAATGCTGACTCAGTGCAGTAAGAGGGAAAAATTCAGGTATGAGGATTAGAAATAAAAAGCAAAACTATACTTGTAGACAATTTACTCATTTAGAAAATCAAATGAAATTACAAATTACCAGAACAAAGAACCTGAGTTGAAGGTAGGTGATTATGGAATTGACATACAAAGATCAATAGCTTTCCTATATATGAGCTATGTCTATAAATATATAAAATTATATTTGAAAATAAAATCTTAAAGCAACAAATAACAACCAAAGAAAGTCACTTAACAAAAACATGTGTATAGCATTATGGAGAAAAATATAAAGTGTTCCTTAAGCATGTGAACAAAGATTTGATAAAAAGAGGAGCATACCATCTTTATAAGTGGGAAGACTCCTGCTTGAATAAATAAATATTATTTCTCCCCTAAATATTTTATACCTTCAAGCAATGCTAATCCAAATCCCTATTTCCAGTATAACTGTGTATATGTAAGTCAGTATCTTTGCTCTTCTCTTCCCAGAAACCACACAAAAGCAATAAGCACAACACAACTCCCACAAGGTACACTTTCAGTGAAACTACAAAAAAAAAAAAAAAAAAAAAAAAAGGAAAGAAAATCTGTGAACAACTACTAAGTATTTGTTAGGACTACAAAAAGCAACTGAGATTAGGCAGAAACAATGTGGAAGGAAGTAAGGAAGCATGGGCTGTGGGAGAGCACCTGGGCTTGAGGAAAATTCTGGGAGGCAAGTTTGGCAATATCCAGAAAAATTTAAAGTGATTATATTTTATGATCTAGCTGCTAGACTTTAGGACCTTCTAAGGATCCTAGAGAAATTTTCATATGGACATAATGAGAGCAATATAAGGATGTTTTTTGCAGCATTACTATGTGTATTCAAAAATTGAAGCAATCTAAAACATCAGTTTTTAGAAGATAGCTTAAATTCTGGTTGAGTCCTACAGGGGAAGAATGAAATTAGATCTCTTTCTATCAGTGTGACTAGTGTCCCCAAGACAAAATTGAGTAAAACAAGTTGCTGAATGATACTTATAGTAAAATATCATGTATGTAAAAATTAAATAAAAGACTAGTGTTATATTTTTACTTATGTATAGTTCATTTTTTTCCAGCTTTATTGAGATATAATTGACATATCATATAAGTTTAAGGCATACCATGTGATGATTTTATATATATATTTTACAAAATGATTGCCACAATTACTTAACACACTCATCACCTCACATAGTACCATTTTTTTTTTTTTTTTTGGTATGTGTGGTGAGAACATTTGAGGTCTACTCTCTTGTTAGCTTTCAAGTATACAGTATAGTATTTTTAACTATAGTCATTATGCTGTATGTTAGATATCCAGAACTTCTTCATCATATAACTGTAAGTTTGTACCCTTTGACCGCTTTCACCCATTTCTCCCACTTCCTTGCCCCTGGCAATCATCAGTCTACTCCCTGTTTCTATGAATTCAGTATTTTTTATATTCCAGATATAAGTGAGATCACACAATTTTTGTTTTTTTCTGTCTGACTGATTTTACTTAGCATAATGCCCTCAAGTTTAATTCATGTTTTCACAAGTGGCAGGATTTCCTTTTTGTATGGTTGAATTTTATATATTTTATATTACATATAATAATAAAATTTATCACATTAATTATAGTCACTATTAATTATATTAAATATTACGTATATGATAAATTTTGTTATATCACATAGTAATCATATTTAATATGTTAATTATATTTAATGTCATATAGGAATTATATACATTTATATCATTTTTTTACATAGTCATGTGTTGATGAACACTTAAGTTGTTTCCATGTCTTAGCTACTGTAAATAATACTACAGTGAACATGGTGGGGTACAGATATCTCTTTGAGATAGTAATTTCATTTCCTTCAGATATATACCCAGAAGTGGAGTTGCTGAATCATATGGTACCTCTATTTTTAATTTTTTGAGTAAGCTCCATACTGTCTTTGATAGTGACTATAGCAATTATATTCTTGCCAACAGTGTACTAGGGTTCCCTTTTCTCTATATTCTTGCCAGCATTTGTTATCTCTTGTCTTTTTTAAAACAACTATCCTAACAGCTTTGAAGTACTATCTTCTTGTGTTTTTCTTTTGTAGTTCTCTGATAATTTGTGATATTGGGCACCTTCCATGTACCTGCTGGCCATTTGTATATCTTCTTTGGAAGAATGTCTATTTAGGACGTTTGTCCATTTTTAAATCACATTATTTTGGTTTTTTGATTTGTAGTAGTTCCTAATATATTTAGGATATTAATCCTTTATCAGATGTATGGTTTGAAAATATTTTCTTCCACTCTATAGGTTGCCATTTCATTTTGTTACTTATTTCTTTTGCTGTGCAGAAGCTTTTTAGTTTGATGCAGTCTCATTTTTGTTTATTTTTGCTTTGTCATTTGTGCTTTTGGTGCCATATACCAAAAAAACCATTGCCAAGACCAATATCAAGAAGCTTTCTCCCTATGCTTTCTTCTAGGAGTTTTACATTTAAGTATTTAATCCATTTCAAGTCAATTTTTGTGATTGATATAAGTTAGGGATTCAGTTTCACTCTTTTACATGTAAATATCCAATTTTTCCAGCCCCACTTACTGAGGAAAGTATTTTTCCCCCATTGAGTATTCTTGGCTCCCTTGTCAAATATTAGTTGACAAGTTGACTTGATTCTGTTTCATTGGTCTATGTGATTGTTTTTATGCCAGTACTGTATTATTTTGATGACTGTAGCTTTGTAATATAGTTTGAAACCAGGAAGTGTTATGCCTTCAGCTTTGTTCTTCTTTCTCAAAATTGCTTTGGCTCTTTGGGAGTTTTTTATGTTTCCATATTAATTTTAAGGTTTTTTTTTCTATTTTTTTAAAAGATTTTATTTATTTATTTGACACAGAGATATAGATCACAAGTAGGCAGAGAGGCAGGCAGAGAGAGAGGGGGAAGCAGGCTCCCCGCTGAGCAGAGAGCCTGATGTGGGGCTCAATCCCCAGACCCTGAAATCATGACCTGAGCCGAAGGCAGAGGCTTAACCCACTGAGCCACCCAGATGCCCCTGTTTTTTCTATTTCTGTAAAAAATGTCTTTGAATCTTACTAGGAATTGTACTGAATCTGTGTATGGCTTTGGGTAGTATGTATATTTTAACAAATTAATTCTTCCAATCCATGAACATGGGATATTTTTCCCTTTACTTTTGTCATTTTCAATTTCTTTCATCAGTATTTCATAGTTTTTTGTGCATAGATCTTTTATCTCCTTGGTTAAATTTATTCCTATTATTATTATTATTACTACTACTACTACTACTACTATTTTAAGATTTTGTTTATTTGAGAGAGAGAGCATGCACGAGTGGGGTGGGGAGGGTCAGAAGAAGCAGGAGAAGCAACCTCCGCACTGAGTTAGGAGCCTGAGGAGGGGTTCAATTCCAGAACCCTGGGATCATGACCTGAGCTGAAGGCAGATGCTTAACTGACTGAGCCACCCAGGTGCCCCCCATTTTATTATTTTTTATTCTATTATAAATGGGATTGTGTTCTTTATTTTTTAGGTAGTTCATTGTTAAAATAGTTCACTGTTAAAATACAACTGATTTTTGTATGTTGATTTTGTATCCTACAACTGAATTCATTTGTTAGTTCTAACCGTTTTTTATAGTCTTTATAGTTTTCTATATATAAGGTCATGTTATCTGCAACAGAGACCATTCACCTCTCCCTTTTCAGTTTGGTTGGCTTTTGTTTCTTCTTTGCCTGATTGCTCTGGGTAGGACTTCTAGTACTATATTGAATAGGAGTGATAAGAATAGGCTCTTGTTTTGTCCCTGATCTTAAAGGAAAAGCTTTCAACTTCACTGTTGAGTATGATGTTAGCTATGGGCTTGTCTATAGAGTTCATTTCTGTTTCATTTCTCTAATAGAGAGTATAGAGTAGTAGATAAGACCACAAAGGTCAGATTGCCATGTTCAAATCCTGATTTCTATCACTTACCAGCTGTGACCTTCTCTAAGTAACTGATATTTCCTTGCATTTCAAAATATTGATTTGTCTGATATAGGGCATTCCAAGGTATGATTATTTAGTAGTCAGATAATATTCTTCAAATACTGTCTAGCATTTTATGTGCAACTAAAATGTCTTCTGGCTGAATAAGTAACTAGAGGCAGTACATGGCACAGATAAGCTATGAGGCACACCAGGAAGATGTTTCCTAATATCATTTTGTCTTATCCTCACCCTTGAAGTTCAAGAGAACAGGAACTGAAAGGGAATAAATGAAATACTGAAATATACATGAGTTTGTCCATATGCTTCTAAGGTGCTTTGCTTCATCATCCAGGTCGAGGTCTCCCGGCAGGACAAGCTGAGGTTGAGATGATAGAACGTGCCCGGGAGAAGCGTGCTTGGGAAGCCACTCTTCCAAGTCTGAGTGACTCCTTCCAGTTTGAGAAGAGGAGGAGGATGATGAATGTGATGGAGAGGAAGGAGTGGGCCTTCAGAGAGCAGGAGATTGAAAAGTAAGTTCTAGATTACCCAAATATCTGCACCTGAGCTGTTGGTGTAATGTAAATACTTTTTATCTGTAAAGCATTTTCCCAAATGTATGGGTTTAAAAGCAACCTGCCACTTATAGAGATAGAAAGTTGGGTTTCTGGTTCTTTTGGGAATAATAGCTCTATAATTTTCTTCCTAACAATATAAAAATGTATAAGGCCCTCTTCATATGTTAAGTTTTAAGTATGGAACCCAGATTTGAACAATTCCTCAAAACATCTGTGATTCTTCTCTTTCCTTTTCTCTTTAAAGAAAATCTAATCTAGACTATCACAGAATCCCATTGAAGTGCCTTTTGTTTTTTTAAAGATTTTAAAAATTTATTTGACAGGGTGAGCACAAGCAGGGGGAGCAGCAGAGGGAGCTGCAGGGGGAAAGGGAGAGGCAGGCTTTCCACTGAGCAGGGAGGCCAATGTGGGGCTCGATTCCAGGACTCTGGAATCATGACCTGAGCTAAAGGTGACTGAACGACTCAGGTGCCCCTGAAATGTTTTTTTTTTTTAATTTTTTAAACTGTAGTTCATTAACATACAGTGTGATACTGGTTTCAGGAGTAGAATTCAGTGCTTCATCACTTACATATAACACCCAGTGCTCATCACAAGTGCCCTCCTTAATCCCCATCACCTATCTTGCCCATCCCCCACCCACTTTCCTGCATCAACCCTCAGTTTGTTCTCCATTGGTAGAAGTCTCTCTCCTTTTTCTTCCCCTTCCCATATGTTCATCTATTTTGTTTCTTAAATTCTACATATGAGTGAAATCCTATGGTATTTGCCTTTCTCTGACTTACTTTGCTCAACATAATATACTCTAGCTCCATCCACTTTGTTACAAATGGCAACATCTCATTATTTTTTCATGGCTGAGTAATTTCCTATTGTGTGTGTGTGTGTGTGTGTGTGTGTGTGTGTGTGTGCATGCCATGTCTTTACCATTCATCATCAGTCTTTTGAACTGACCCTTTCTGTTCATTCCCAGCGCCACCCTCTCTGGGGATATCTTCATATCCATCAGCCTCCTAGCTAATCCTCTTATTCCCCCTGCTACTGGATTCGCACTCAGGATGTCTTGGGTTCTAGTCACAGCCCATGGAGCATTTTCGATTTAAAAGACAAATTGTGGAGTTCTTCAATTAAGAGATGAGCTCACAGTGCACAAATAACAATATGCTGTGGTACTTCTGGTTTTCAGTTACTTATCTAATGTATTTGCAGTGATAAGGCTGTCTTTGGAATGTATGGAAAGGATGAAAACCCCCAAATTACAACTCCCTAGCAATAAGAAAGGAAAGGAAGGGAACTTGATAAGGTTGTCGTTTGTCCTAGGCTGAGCTGAGGTACTTCACTGCTCATAGCGATGCTACCACAGCCCCTGACGGAGCGCTTACACACAAAAAAGTTAAGAACCAGAGCCTCAGTGTGGTTCTGAATTCAAAATACGTTTATCTTTTTACAACACCTTCTGTTAACCCTGAATCCAGACTGTGTGATGTTTTGGTAAAAACTTGCAATTAAAGAATGCAAAGGTATTAGGTGTTGGGTGCCCAGTCCTGTCTGTAGAAAATTTATTTTTGCAATTTGGAGAGGTATAGTCTTATCAGAAGGGCATTGAAAACATTTAAAATGTTTATGGGTAGTTCTGTTTGGGGTAGGTGGAGATTTGGGAAAGTTATTTTGAGAAGCTAGCCTCTGAGCTAGGTGTTGAAGGGTGAGTAAGAAGCCATCAGTTCGATAATATTAGTGATGATGATGATGATGATGATATTTACAGAGCATGTTACAGTTACAGAGTGCTTACTATGTGTTGGAGCCATGTTCCAAGCCAGTAGTTCTCAAATTGTGGTCCGCAAACCAGCAGCGTCAGCATTACCTGGGAATTTGTTAGAAATCCAGATTTTCAGGCACCATGAGGACTCCAGATTATCTGATGCATGCTCAAGTTTGGGAACTACTGTTCTACCATGTTGTATGTATTAACTCATTTAATGCTCATGACAATCTTATGGGATAGAAATTATGTCCATTTTGTGACTAAAGATTGAGGTTCAGTGATGAATTTGAGAATGAGCCTAGGATTTCTAACTTCAGACAGAAAGGTGACTCTTGGTCTGTGGCTTATTTTTAAAAACACCTGTTTCTCCATATTTTTCGCTTTTCACTACTTCCCCACTCTCCCTTGTATGTTCGCTTTGAGAAGCTCCCCCAGTATGACATGTTAGCTCTGTCTCTAGTCCTTTGAGTTGAACTTTCCTCTACTGAGGCCTCACTTTTCCCTTGTGTATGTGGCAAATCTCAATCCTTATTTATTCTCAAGACTAGAGTTCATGGCTCCTGTAAGGAAGACTTCCCCACCTTCCTGGATCCACTGGGAATAGCACTAGACATAGACACTCTGTCATTTCTTCTCCCACATTCTTCATTCTTCTGGTCTGGTATTTATCTTCTTGTGCTATAAAATACTAGTTGATATGCCCGCTCCAATAGAACAGTGCTTCTTGAGAGAAGGTGTTTTATTTTGTTCATCATTGTTTGTTTCCTGCTTGGCATATGGTGAGCACTTCATAAATATTTGACAAATGAGTGGCTGAATAAATTACTCTCTGAATTTTTAAGTAAGAGTAAAATGTTCAAATGTCTATTTTAGGAAGGAAAATCTTGACAGCTGTTTGGAGCAAGATTAGAAGGAGAGGCTAGATTAGCAACTTGAGTCAAAGTTAGGAGAGGGATGTTAAAAATATGAGCTAAGGGATGGATGTAAGAAGTGTTTTAGAAGAGGAATTATTAGGGGAGGGAAGAAGATGTAAGAATGGGTAGGTTTCTGGTGGAACAAAATGAGTGGGGTTTGTTTGAGGTTGTCAGGGGCTAGCTGAAAATTCCAAGTAGACAGGAATTCTGGCTCAGAAACACCTGGTCCGGAGGTAGAGATTTTGAAGTCATGTGTACATGGTTGTATACACATGAGCGAGGTAGCTAGCTCTAGGAGAACAAGATATAGGTAAGGGGAAGGGAAACAAAAATTGATTGGGTGTCTATATGTGCCAGACACTGGCATTTTCACATTTATTCCTTAAAATAGCATGCTGCTTCATTTTCTCTTCACTTGTATTACTTAACTCCCCGGCTAATACCTATGGACCTGGAACTGTGCACAAACATCTTATTGTTCTTTTAGGCTCATCTGCCTAGAGAGCTCTTTTATTTGACTGGCATACTCTTCTTCGCCTTTCAGAACTATGCCCGTACATATTCCTTTTATAGAGAGACTCACTATTGAGTTGCCTCCCTCAAATAGCCAATCCATTTGTCATACTTTTGCCAGAGCAATGTTTTTATTTTTATTTTTTTTAAAGATTTTATTTATTTGACAGACAGAGATCACAAGTAGGCAGAGAGGCAGACAGATAGAGAAAGAGGTGGAAGCAGGCTCCCTGCAGAGCAGAGAGCCCTATGTGGGGCTCGATCCCAGGATACTGGGACCATGACCTGAGCCGAAGGCAGAGGCTTTAACCCCCTGAGCCACCCAGGTGCCCCAGAGCAGCCTTTTTAAATACATGAATGTGATACCAGCCCCAAGAGAGCATCCTGTTTATGGCAGGTGTTTCCCTTCTCTCTAGTAGAACACTCTGAGATACCAAATAGGTCTTTATGTTTGGTGATTTACTTAAAGACTTCAGGAGATTCGCCTGGAAATTCTGAAAGAGCTGCTGAGAAAACGTGATAAGAATCAAAACGAAGTGAACATGAAGCACCTGAATGCCCGGTGGTCTCAACTGCAGGAAGCAAAGGAGGCAAAATTGGCACGGATTCAGCAGACACACGTCTCAGGTAATGGTGTCATATGAACAGTGAAGGGAATGGGAGGGTTGGCTTCGCTTTGAATCTTTGAGCAAACCTGATTTAGGTACAATTATTTCGAGTCCTAATGTTATTAAATAAGTAAAGGAGATGAATTATTTCTCAAAAGTAGAAGAGTGGAAGAAAATTCCTTACTAAGAAAACCAAGTATTGATGTTCTAACAGGCAGTCCAGCTGTTAACATTATGTGTGGGCTGGGTGGGGTAAGTGTAAGGGGTTGGCCTTCCCATATTCATGGATTGAAGTCCTGGATAGGGAGCCCTATTTCTCAGTCTTTTTTTTATTATTGCTCTTAAATGAGACATTTAATCATCGTTTTTCCTGCTCACCCCCTGCCATGAAATTTTAATACCATATACTGTATATCTGTTTGTGTACTATCTCTGTACATATAAAAAGAGCAGTCCATGGATGATTAAGAATGACTATATCAAAATTTTAAATTAAAATTTAAAAAGGGGCATCTGCATGGCTCAATTGGTTAAGTGTCCAACTCTTGATTTCGGCTCAGGTCATGATCTCAGGGTCAGGAGATTAAGCCTCACGTTGGGCTCCTCACTGGGCACGGGGCCTGCTAAAGCTTCTCTCTCACCCTCTCCCTCTGTCCCTCACCCCTCATCTCTGTCTCTCTACCTCTCAAAAAAAAAATTAATAAAAATAAGGATTAAAAATTTTAACTCATTAGTATTTAACTTTATAGTTTTATTTGCTTAGGTACTTTTAATGTAATTTACTTTTAAAATTGTAATATTTCAATTACATGTGCAAATTAGCAATTTCTATGCCTAATAAACAGAATAATCACAAAATTTAAAACAAATTTGTTATTTATCTACAAAAGTAGAACAATTATAAAAATTCCTTAAAATTAAAAAAAATCCTTAAAATTATTCTTAGTGAACTTAACTTTTAAAGTTTTCTTGATGTGAGAAAATAACTTTTAACTAGATGCTAGGTATGCATTTAGATATTGTCAACTGTTTCTTTTCAGTACTTCACAATAATAAACGATAGGTTGACTAGCTTGTCTATTGTGTTCTATTCTAAAGTCCTCCTGTCCCTCTCTTCCGCCTTCTGGGATCGGTCACCTTCCAAAAAACTTCCTGCACACATAACTTTGTTTTAGGCTCTGCCTTTGGGCGAACCAAGGCTAAGACATTACTCATATGTCACGTCTTCAGTGAGGCCTTCAAGGACACCCCCACCCCCCATAAATTAGGTACCTGTTATCTGCTCTCACTTATATGCCCCTGAACTTATTTTGTGTGTGAGAAGATAACTTTTAACTAGCTGTGAAGTATGCAGTTAGATATTGTCAACACTTTTTCTCTTCAGTACTTGATCTAACTAATGATGAGCTGACTAACTTTTGTAGATAAATAACAAACTGAAGGTTGCTGGAGGGGAGGGGTAGAGGGATGGGGTAACTGGGTGATGGGCGTTAAGGAGGGCACTTGAGATAATGAGCACCGTGTGTTAGATGCAACTGATGAATCACTGACCTCTACTCTGAAACTAATAAAAAAAGATAAATAACAAAATATAAACTTTTTGTTTAATTCCCAAACTCCACGTCACACACAAAAGTGTGGAGAATCAAACATAAATGCCCACAAGGCAGCAGTAGTACATGTAGCTGCCTCTTACAGTAAGACTTTGCCATCCCACAGTATGGGTTTGCACCCATCGTGAGTGCACAGTGTGGAGCCCTGGGGGGTGGATCTGTGATAGGCGGGAGAGGTAGCACAACTCCTCAGCTGAGTAAACTCCCAGTGTGCACAGCTGAGCCTTTTCCATCTGATGGCCAAACAGTTCTGAAAGCTCCAAGCTGGGATATATTGTGTTTTATTCTGTTGTTAGGCAAGGTAGAAGGAGATTATTGAAGAGCCTGTTGTCTTCCTTCCCTTGCAGTTATTTTCCCAGGAGAAAATAATTCTCCAGAACTCCACTGACCATGTCTTTCTTGGTTACTTTGAGTTTCTTTCATTAGCTTGACAAAACTCTTCCTGAGTTTTTGTAAGTAAGTTTTTGTAAGCTCTTACCTCAGAGCTTGGAATGCACTTATAAAAGACTTTTGATGAGTACCACCTGAGGACACTAACTGACTCAGCTTCTGTTGCTCCCACTTGTCTCATGATGGCCTGGGCTGTGCAGATGACAGACCTGGCTGCAGTGAGCGGTCATCGTGAAATTCAGTCCGTTCAGTAGCTTCCCTGTGAATAAAAGTAGAACTGGCTTATTATTACGCATTTGTTCAGAACAACACTGTAAAGATAGTCACAGAGGTATGTTTTATTGTAGCAATCAGAAAACTTGTGGGAAAAAGAAAGAATATAGAAGGAAAGTTGGAGAGAAGAAATATCATCAGGGATTATTGTGATTATGCATCACAGGTCTATGGACCTCTGTCTCGTCTTGGTCGTTTCCCTGACAACAATTCAGAGGACTTTGTAGTAAAAAACCACTATCTCAACACCTATGAAGGTAAGCAATTTACATAATTACAAGTCCAGTATAAGAGGAGTATTAAAGTACTAAAAGAGAAGTATTAGATTAAAGGCCAAACAACAAATAAAAATATTTTCAAGAAATAGCAATGAACACATTTAATGTTATTAATAGGAGTACGTACAAACCGATAAAAACTCCTAAGATCCAAATAAATATATATCTGTGTTTACCTACTAAACATTTAAGCATGTTCAATGTCACAAAAATGAAACTGAAAAAGCTTTTATACCGGTTTTTCAAAGTAAACAAGGAATATATCATGAAATCAGCCCTTTAAAAAGAAGTATTAGTAAACTAGCGGGCAAGGAAATGGGTAACTAGGGGACAAGTTCGTGGAGAGGACTATACCTCTTGCCAAGTCCCGGAGAGGCTCATTTAGATTATTTAAATTTAATTGACAAGTTGAAGCATATACATGGCCAAGATCATGAATGGATGGTCACACTGTTGAACTTGTAGCTCTGGCTGATCATCTCCAGAGCAGAATACATAAACTGGTGTATAGCGACCAAAAATTGGTGGTCCCATATATCATACGGTCACTAATTTTCTGTTGGTTATTGTCATAGAACTTAATACTTTTTTGTAGGGAAATACTAGAATGCATTTCTCAGGATCCCTGGGTGGCTCAGTCTGTTAAGTGTCTGATCCCAGGGTCCTGGGTTCAAGTCCCACATTGGGCTCCCTGCTCAGTGGGGAGTTTGCTTCTCTATCTGCACCCCCCCATGTGCTCTTTCTCTCTCTCTCTCTCAGATAAATAAAATCTTTTTAAAAAAATAATGCATTTTTCATTTTGTGGTCTAAATCACCAAGAACATGAGAACATTAATTATGTAGAAATTTTCTTTACATTTTGGGGCCACTTCAATTATGTGAGCTCTATCTTATCAGTAATTCTAAATGAAACCACTTAGCAAACAGCTACTAAAATTAACAATATGCTCTCAAAACGTGAAATTTAATCACTGAATACTAAAAATATGTACTTCCTTCCTGTAGGATTAGTTGAACTTGAGTCACATCTCCCAGATTTTGTGACACAACCCCGAATCAGACCGCCAAAGCCAAAAGTCACTACCACGAAAGCTGGTTTTCTCAAGAGGGCAGCAAGGATGGACCATGAGTTGACAGAGGTTCATAAGGTATAAGACTTATTTGTAGACAAGAGCTATTAGTGGGACTTTTGTAGTGAAATACTTCATCTCCAAAACTGCAGTGTCCAGTAGTTCTCAGCACATAACTCTACATCTTTTCTCCTCTCCAGAGTTTTATCTTCCAGAAGTTGCCCGCGCTGTGTTGAACCAATGTTTTTTCCTTGTTTCAAACTGTAGGAAAATTGTTGGAGGCTGTCCTCCCCATTTGCAGAAGTCATGCTACTTCCTTTTTTGTTGTTGTTGTTGTTATCATGTTACTTCCTAAAAATGGTTCTGACTTTGGATCTACATAATAAAATCTGCCACTATATTGAGGTATAGCAAGTTCCTAGTATCAGGAATTACTGCTGGTTTTAATAGTGTAATAGGCCTCATTTTCTCCCTTTTAGATTTGTTACCGGGGCATCAAGAAGAAAGGGAGTCACGTTCAAGTCCTTTCTCATCTGGTTTAAAGCTCAACTAAATGAGAAAGTGCAGTAGTTATCTCCATGAAACAAGTTACACAGCACCCCGCAGCTGTGCTTCCCTTTTGTTAGTTGGACTATAAGTGCACAGACTCTAGAATTTGTGATTTGTGATCATGCTACTCCGTCTTTAGCATGCATCACAATCACCTGGAGGGCTTCTTAAAACACATGTCGCTGGGCCCACCCCTCAAAGTTTCTGATTGAGTAGGTCAGGGGTGGGGCTGGAGTACTTGCATGTGGTACAAGTTTCCAGATAATGCGATCTTCAGAAATTGCCATTGGAGACACACTGGTTCATGATAATCTCATCATTGGCTCATGCATTTGTTTGTTCATTTGGCTTTGGGCATAGCATAAGAATCCACGGTAGCCTATACTCAATATAAAAATTAAGACCTTGGGGCGCCTGGGTGGCTCAGTTGGTAAAGCGTCTGATTCTTGATTTCAGCTCAGGTCATGATCTCAGAGTCCTGAGATAGAGCCCCACTGTGGCTCCATGCTGGATGGGGAGCCTGCTTAAAATTCTCTCTCTCCATCTTCCTCTGCCTCTACCCACCCCACCAAGGCGCGCATCACCCTTTCTCTCTGTAAATAAATTAAAAAATAAATAAATAATAAGGACTTTGACAATAATTCACATATATCTATGTGTTTTTTTTTCCCAACCTTATCCACCCCATCTCTGTTTACCCATTCTGAACTCGGTGTTCATTATTCTTTCACTTTCTGTAAGAGTTTCTTTCAAATACTCTTTATTAGGGTATGGAAGTTCTCTTCTATTCCTGTTTTACTGAAGCTTTTAATCATGTATTCATGCTGAATTTTATCACATGTTTTATCTGTATCTATTGAGGTAATAATATATTTTTAAAATTATTGAATAGGGAACATTTATGTTTTTGTTTTTGTTTTTTTTTAATGAACAATCTATCCTTACATACTGGGAATGAACCTAACTTGGATAAGATTTTTTTTTTTTAAAGATTTTATTTATTTATTTGACAGAGAGAGAGATCACAAGTAGACAGAGAGGCAGGCAGAGAGAAAGGGGGAAGCAGGCTCCCTGCTGAGCAGAGAGCCTGATGCGGGCTCGATCCCAGGACCCTGAGATCATGACCTGAGCCAAAGGCAGAGGCTTAACCCACTGAGCCACCCAGGTGCCCAAGATGTTTTATATTTAATACACTGTTGGGTATTAAGGAGGGCACTTGTTATGATGAGCACTGTGTGTTATAAGTAAGTGATGAATCACTAAATTCTATTCCTGAAACCAATACTACACTATATGTTAACTAACTAGAATTCAAATAAAAATTTGAAAAAGAAAAAAAAAATTCATTGTTGGATTCGATTTACTAATATGTTTTCCAGAATTTTGATTCCATATTCATGAGGGAAACAACCTTATTTTTCTCTCATTTTGACTCCATATGGCTTTGGTGTTAGAGTAATGCAGATCTTCTGAAATGACTGCAGAGTATTCCTTCTTTTCTACTTTTGGAAAGAGTTTAAGTTTAAAGTGATCTAGTCCTTCAATTCGGTAGAATACTCATATTAAAATTATCTGAGACTGATGTTTTCTTCATGGGAAAATTCTAACTACTCCTTCAGTTTCCTCACTACTTACAGAACTGTTCGCATTGTTTTGGTAAATTATATTTTCTTTTTTTTTTAATTTCTTTTTTATTATTATTTTTATTTTTTACGGAGGGAGAGAAGAAAGGGGCAGGAGAGGGGCAGAGAATGAGGTAGAGAGAGAATCTTAGGCAGGATCCATGCCTAACTGCAGAGCGCAATGCGGGACTTGATCTCACTACCCTGAGATTGTGACCTGAGCCAAAACCAAGAGTCAGACATTGAATTAACTAAGCAAATCAGGTGCCCTGGTAAATTACATTTTCCTTATAAAGTGTTTTGCGCCTAACTTTTCATATTTTTTGGCATGTGGTTGTTGATAGTATTATTTAAAATCTTTTTAGTGTTTGTGATATCTATAGTCCTGCCTATTTTTTTTCGTTTGTAATACTATTTATTTTTGCTTTCACTCTTTTTCCTTACTTGGTTTTACAGGAGGCTTATTAATTTCCTTGGTATTGTTTTTCCAAAGAATGAAATTTTTACTTTGTTGATTTTCTCTACTATATATATATATATATTCTCTACTATATAAATATATATATTTTTATTTTTCTCTATTATATATATATATATATATATATATATATATATTAGTTACGTTAACTCCCATTCTTATACATCTTTCCTCTTTCTTTTTGTTTTGTTGTTCTTTTCCTTAAAGTAGTCATGTAGCTCATTAATTTTCAGGCAGTCATCAGTTTTATAAAAGTATTGAAGGGTAAGCATTTCCTTCAAAACACTGATTTTGGTATATTCCATTAGTTTTTATTTTATCAATATTAGTATCTAATTTTTTAAAACGTGTTATGGTTTTTGAACCTGTGAGTGTTTAAGTTTTTAAATTTCCAAATATGCAGGAATTTTAACTCATTTTTGAATTAACTTCTAACTCCTTTGCTCTATGGTCAAGGATCCCTATTTTTTGAAACTTAGTGAGGCTTGTCTTGTGAACTAGTATATGAGTTTACATATAAAATAATCTAAGTCCACCTTCAGATAATACTGTCACTTTACGTGCAGTATAGGTCCCTTATAGCAGATTATTCCCCATTCATCCCTACTGTCTGTGTGGCATTCTTGTCATTCATTTCACTGATCCATATGCTGTAATAACCAATATATTCTTACTCTCATTGCTTTAACAGTTATATTTTGGATCAGTTAAAAATAAGAAAAAATACTTTATTTTACCTTCATTTATTCTTTCTATGGCACTGTTCCTTTATAGGAATGCAAGTTTATGACCTATGTCATTTTGCTCCTACCTGGAGCAACTGGAGAACTTGGTTTACATTTATTATAAGGAAGGTCTCCTGGCAATAAACTCTCTCAGTTTTTGTTTGTTTCAGGAAGTCTTTATTTCTTCTGTATGATTTTTTTTTAGATAATTCACATACCATTAAATTCACTCTTTTAAAATAAACAATTCAGTTGTTTTTAGTATACATATACACAAGGTTGTTCAACCATCACCATTATCTAATTCCAAAACATTCTCATTATCCCCAAAAGAAACCCATACCCATTGGCAGTCACTCCCAATTGCCTTCTTCTCCCTATCCCCCAGCAACCACTAATATTTCTTTTTATGGATTTGCCTATTCTGAACATTTCATATAAATGAAATCAGACAATGTATGGCCTTTTGTGTCTAGCTTCTTTAACTTAGCACAATGTTTTCAAAGTTCATCCATGGTGTAGTAGGTACCTTAATGCTTTGTATGACTGTACGATATTCCATTATGTGGATATATCACATTTTGTTTACCTGCTCATCAATTGATACAGTTGATAGAAATTTGAGTAGTTTCTACTTTTTAATCTATTATGAACTATGGTGCTTTGCACATTTGTGTACAAATTTTTGTGTGGACATAAATTTTTCAGTTCTTTTTGCAATATACCTAGGAATGGAATTCCTGGGTCACCAGGTAACTCTTTTACTTCTTGAAGAACTCCCAGACTATTTCAAAAGTGGCTACACTGTTTTACATTCCCACCAAGAATGTATGAGGATTCTGATTTCTCCGTATTTTTGTCCTCACTTATTACTGCCCATCTTTTTTATTATAGCCATCCTAGCTCACCCAGTGAGATACCTGCGTGGTATCTCATTGTGGTTTAGAATTGCATTTGTCTTAATGATTAATGAATTTTAGCACCTTTTTCGTGTGCCTTTTGGTCATATGTACATCTTTATTTTTTTTTAAGATTTTGTTTATTTATTTGCGCATGCGAGAGACAGCATAAGACAGTGAGAAAGCACAAGCCGGGGGAGGGACAGAGGGGAGAGGGAGAAGCAGGCTCTCTGCCAAGCCGGAGCCCAATGCAGGGCTTGATCCCAGGACCCTAGGATCATGACCTGAGCCAAAGGCAGATGCTTAACCGACTGAGCCACTCAGGCCCTCCAGGTCATTTGCATATCTTTTTTGGGGAAATGTCTATTCAGATCCTTTGCTTATTTTTTAATTGGGTTGTCTTTTTATTGTTTATAATAAACATTACTTTTAATGTCTATTTACTGTTGAGTTGTAGGAGTTTTGTATATATTCCGAGGACTATTCCCTTGTCAGATGTGATTTGCAGATATTCCTCCCATTCTGTGGGATGTGTTTTTACTTTGATAGTATCCTTTGAAACAGGTAAATTTAAAATTGTGATCTTTTCAGTTTTGAATAATGATTTTATTGAGTGAATTCTAGGTTGGCGGGGTTTTTTTCCAACACTTCAAAGATTTCACTCTCGCATGGATTTTTTTTTTTTAAGATTTTGTTTATTTATTAGAGAGAGAGTGAGCAAGAGCATGAGCAGGGAGGAGGGACAGGGAGAAGCCGAAGCAGACTCCCACTGAGCAGGGAGCCCAATGCAGGACTCAATGCCAGGACCCCAGAATCATGACCTGAGCTGAAGGCAGATGCTTAACTGACTGAGCCACCCAGGCATCCTGCATAGCTGTTTTTTGACTAGAATTCCACTGTAATTTTTAATCTTCATTCCTCAGTAGCGAAGGTGTGTTTTCTATCTTCTTTCAGACTTCTCTCTTTGTCTTTCTCTAAATGTTATATGCCTGGGGTGTGTGTGTGTGTATGTGTGTGTGTGTGTGTGTGTTAAGGTACCTGTCTTGTTTAATGTTTTCTAAGCTTTCCGGATTTGTGGGTTGGTGTTTGTTATTACTTTAGGCAAGTTTCCAGCCATTATTATTTCAAATGTTTATTCTGCATTCTCTCTTTCTTCTCCATTTGGTATTCCACTTACACATATTACTCCTTTTGATATTGTCTCACAATTCTTAGATGTTCGGTTCTGTTACTTTGTTTCTCCTTGTATTTCAGTTTGGGAAGTTTGTATTGACATATCTTCAAGTTCCTGGAGTCTTTTTTTTAAATCTTTTTTTAGCTGTGTTGAGTCTACCAATGAGCCTATTGATAGCATTCTCCATTTCTGTTACAGTGTTTTGACTTCTAGCCTTTCCTTTTGATTCTTTGGGTTTCAGTCTCTGCTTACATTACTCATCTGTTCTTGTTTGTCATCTTCCTTTTCCATTAGAGCCCTTAACATAGTAATCATTGTTATTTTAAATTTTCTGTCTGATAATTCCAACATGTATATCATATCTGACTCTGGTTCTGATGGTTACTTCTCTTTTTAGAGTATTTTTTTCCTTGCCTTTGTAATGCGTTTTGAATTTTTTGCTGATAGCCTGACATCTGTTATCAAACAATAGTAACTGAGGTAAATAGACTATAGTGTGGCATTTATATTAATCTGGCTAGATGTTGGGCTGTGTTTAATGTTTGTTGTAGCTGATGTCAGAGGATTCACATTCTTCTACAGTCCTTGTTTTTAATCTGTCCTCTTGGCTTTGGGATGAGATGCCATTATATGATGTCTGTCAGTCTGGAATATTGGTTTGAATTGAAGAGAGTCACTAAATATTAGATTTATGTCCAGATAGTGTATTTACTTGGTCTTATGGTTACATTATTTTGAGACTCTAGAATCAGAAATATAAAGGTACAGGTGGTATAAGGCTTTAAAAAATACTTTATGAGCTATGTCACAGTAACCATAGAGGAGAAATATCTAGAATAGTATAAAATAATTTCCACAGTACAGTATTTTCAGGCTATTCTTGGTAGTAATTTAGGTTGGAATATATTTTTGAAGACTTGTCAAATTACTTATGTCCTAAAGGAGATTAAAGAGTGTACCAATGAGTTCTTTCTTCTATTTATGAAAATCATGGATTGAACTCAGTTGCCTAATGTATTTGTCTTTTAAGCATGTTAAAATGTACTGTTTGGTAACAACATTTCCTTGATATTCTCATATTCATTCATATTCCCCCTCCAGAGAGCTTTACCTTTCAAGACAATAAGACAGCTTGAAGGGATTCTCATATACTTTTATTTGTTGGTTTTATTATACTTTTCATTAGAGTTCTTGACCAAACATTTTTCCCTTAACTGTGAAAATGAGTTGCCTTTTTTCCAAAATTTAAATTATTTGTTTCTTTTCTTTTATATTTAGAATTTATTTGCTGACTGGGAAAAATATCCACATAGCTCAAAATTCATAAATTATACAAAAGTATTAAATGTAAATCTTCTATCCCTGTCTCCCAGCTATGCAGTTCCTTCTTTGGAGGCCACCAGTGTTTTTTAGTTTCATATCTTTCTGTCCAGAGATATCTTACAAACAAATATATTCATATCTATATAGAGAAATATACACATGTATATATGTGTGTATTTAGAAATATGTAAGAACAAATAAAAATACCTATGAGTATCTTCTTAAATTGTTTTACACAAATAATACATAATACACACTGTCTGTGCTTTTATTATTTAATATATGTTGGAGATCATCCCATAATTGTGTTACATCATTTTTTATAGATTTTTCATCATATAAATGTACCATGTCTACCCACTCCCCACTTGATGGATATTTATATTGTCCCAAGTTTTTTGTATCAAAAAAATACTATATTGAGTGATCTTATTTGCATATAATTTGGTACATGTATGAACAACATATCTAGAAGAAAATTCCTAGACATGAATTGCTGGCCCACAATATGCCTCCATTTATAGTTTCGATGGGTGCTGATAAATTTTCTTACATAAATGATGTACTAATTGCTGAGTGTGTGAGAGTGCCTGTTTTCCCAGATCCCTACCAACATATTATGAATGATTGGTTTTAAGATGGTTTCATGTGGTACTGTTTAAGGCAATGCACTCAAGAGATGCCTGAGCTTAAAATTATTATTTTTTAGATTGCTGCTGCTTTCTGTTGATTCAATAGTTGTGGTTATTGTAGAGCTGTTATGTATTAGAGCTGTTGTGTATTTGGTGTCAGTTTCATTTTGTAGAAACTCAGAGGGTTCTGTTAAAACCACAATAATTTCATGTGGTTTCAAATTTTACTCAACTTGCATATTTTTATTAATTTCAAGTTTTGGCTTAGTGCTTATTTTGTCACTTCTCTCTGTTTTCTGTGGAAAAACTAATATAAAAATCATATGATGAAAAACATTCTAAAATATGATTTTTAAAAGACAGAGATCAGGTTTTTTGATACTTTTTTTTTAAGATTTTATTTATTTATTTGACAGAGATCACAAGTAGGCAGAGAGGCAGGCAGAGAGAGAGAGAGGAGGAAGCAGGCTCCTTGCTGAGCAGAGATCCTGATGTGGGGCTCGATCCCAGGACCCTGGGATCATGACCTGAACCGAAGGCAGAGGCTTTAACCCACTGAGCCATCCAGGCGCCCCGGTTTTTTGATACTTTTAAGTTACAAGTATCCCCCTATGGCTGAAAATAGAAACAATGAACAAAACCTTATGTCATATATAATTTGGGGGACTTCTGGTGACTAAAAGTAAAATCAGTAAAAACATATGTTGAAATCAAAGCACACGCACACACTGTTTCTCAAGAAAACAAGTTCATTTTCAGAAAAAGTGAGGTGCAGGCCTTCATGGTCAGAGGAAAGCTCTTTCTTCACTAGGAGACAATTGCCATTTAATGCTCCTCAGTTCCCCCATAACAACAGAACATACAAAATATTTCTGTCATTTGTGGCACAGGGAAATTTTCTATCACCCAGGCACTTACTTGAAATAGCTAATTGGCTCTTGTGGAAGAATAGGAGTTGGAGGTTTTGCTTGCATACACACCACAAAACATTTCAAAATCTCAAAAAAAATTTTTTTAATTCCCCAAATCTTTGACTAAAATGGATGAACCTAGAATATGTGCTTGGTTTATTCAATGTTAGCTGATGTTTAGGAATATCATACCATCCCTTGGGTCAAACAAGCCCCCAGTTTTGGCCCTTCTCAAACTGTCATAGCATAACCATAGTGAAGATTATTTCTGATTGATACTCGATCTGTGGCCTAGATTGAGTAGTGGAAGAAAAACAAAGGTAAGAAATGACGCTAGTTGGTGTGATTTCAGGCAATACTGGATAAGAAGAATAGAGTTCTTGAACCAAAGAAAGTTTTGCGCTTTCTTCAAAGAAAGGCTCTACCTCAACCTCGGCTTCCAACTCCAACCTTGGAAATGAGTTCCAATGTAAGTTTGAAACTTTATTTGAAATGCTAAATTCAGTATTGCTGTTTGTTTATTCTTATACTTTGGGTTAAAAACAAACCTAACTTAATAGGGTTACCTTTTCAAGATCTGACTTATGGCTTTTCTTCTTATGCTTCAAACATCAGACCCACACAAATAAGCAAAATGAAATCTTCCTAAGAAAAATGGGCATCAGAAGGTAATCCTCATGTGTGTCAAATAAAAAAAGATGAAATGATGATCAGTTACCATAACCATCTTGCCCATAGGGAGGTGGCTATGAGCTGGAGTCAGAAAGGAGGGAAATGCCAGCGATGTCATGAGGATAGGCTGGCTTCTGAGGTGGGACTGGCTCCAAGAGTTCACCCTGACCAGGGTCATACTTCACCTTCATAGGTCTCCAAACTTAGTTTGGGCAAACGTACCAGAGTCAGTCAGGATTTAGGACTGACTTGGACTCAGCAGCTTCTGCACCCCCACAAGAGTGCTAGAGATGCCACAGTACAGATGTATTGCTTGACAGAAGGACTACTGCCTGCCTTGTAGAGGAGGATATTCTTCTTAGCAGTCCTTCTCCTCAGCCCACTATCTCCCAGTATAGGCAGTTCTCACAAGACGCCAGATTGAATTCAGAAGGTTGTTGTGCATTGTCCGAGGGAGGAACATTGGCAGGAGGTCTCATTAGTGCTTCTGAAAGGCCACCTGTGTGGACACCCTGCTCCAGTACTCCCACTGGCTGCCCAGGATGTGCTTCTGGAGTTCTCCTTTCTAGGCTTTGTGCCAGTCACTCCTTGTGGTTCACATTGTCTTTCACATGTGTTCATGCTGTTAATTTCTGTTGCTTTCTCTTGCATTCAGGGGCACTTTAAGTCAATTTGCAGGCTCTGCTTTCTGCTTTTGGTACATAGTTACTTAAGGTGATTTTTGTAGATGGCTAATCTTGTCCATTCTGATTTTACCAGCTTTTCTAAATTCTTGAGAGAAGCACCTTACTCTAGACTCCGACATAGACTAGTTGTATTCCTTGTCTACTCATGAACAAACATGAAAAAACTATTGCAAAAAGGATGTTATAAGCAATACTTGCTGCTTCAAGAAAGATTTTGCTAGAAAGGAGTATAGGAAAATGAAAATGACTTAATTTGTAGGGATAGAGTGAGTTTTTTGCTTTTGATATGATTTTTTAATGATGTCTTTTGATAAAAAAATAATTTTAACAATACAGGAAGTAACATTTAAAATACTATATGTTCAATGAGTGTAGGCCTTATTTATTTCTCTTTAAATCCTTCTGTCATCTAGCTCAGTCTCTTTTGCTTGATCTAAGTCTTCAAAAAAATATTTGATGCTGACCGCTACTCTTCTCAACCTGCTTGGTTCTCACTTTGTTCTTTTAGGAAGAAGAAGATATAGAGATGGCTGTGATCTACCTTCAAAAGTTACTCCGGGGAAGAGCCGTTCAGAACATGGTGTGTACAGTCCAACCACTGGTCCTGTGCTGCTTCTTTGAGAATAGATTTATAGAAGGCGTATGTACTCAGTTCCTTGGGGTGAATTCCCTCTTACACCCTGCTGTCTGATGGAACTGTATGCTCTTGAATTACCTACCCATTCCCTTCTACTGTCAGAGTTCATCCAAGTGGGTGGCATAGTGTCAGGGAGAGAAAGGACCTGCCTGCTGTTTGTAACAGTTGTAACCGAGGCAAAGTGAAATTAATATCTTCCTTAGAATCACTAAATCCAATTTTCTTACCTGAATTTCGACTTATTTTATAAAAAGTTTATTTAGTTAAGTAATCTCTACACCCAACATGGGGCTTGAACTCATGACCCCTACCCCCCAAAATCAAGAGTTGCATGCTCTATCAACTGGGCCAGCCACGTGCTTCGGAATTTTGACTATTCAGGCATCATAGACTAAATGGATTCCCTAATTTTCCACAATGTCATAATTATTTGAGTTTGTATATAGCTAGCACTATCTAAATAATAAATAGCTAAGTAATGCTAACTACAGTTTTGAACCCATACTATAAGCTCACATTATATATTCTTTGCTTTACGTTTATCATCTCAATTTTTTCTATCAGTTACCCCATTTTATAGGCAAGTGATATGAGTCTGAGATTATATTAACTACTAGCAAATTCAACTTTGGTCTTCCTTACTGTAAAGCCTTCACCACAGTATTTGTGCAAGCACACTTCAATTTTAAAATGGACTGATACAAAGCACCAGCAAAAAAATTTTTCCTCCTCATACAGCTGTAATTCGTAAGAGACTCAGTTAGAATTAGTAGGTCCAGGGAAGCTGGGTGAGCATCTGTGTTCAACATTATTCTCCCCTCTCCTTGAGTATTTCCCCAGGAAAAACGTCACAGCAGATTACGTATTACGAACCATGGGCAGATCTCTTGGAAAAGAAAGCATGGCTATGAAAAAGAGCATCCTCAGGCATCTTTGGGAAGGAGCACAGAAAATGAAGGGGAGGATCTGGTTTCTTAATATGACCCTATAGAAACCACTTTGTCTTTGAGAGGCATTTTGAGAAACTGAGTAAACAACTGCTAAGTAAGCTCTTTCTCGACCTGAGCAGCTGGAGGTGTAGAAAAGAACACAGAGCTCTAAGCCCTGTGGAACACCCCTGCTCTGCGGAGAAGGCAGAACTGAACCCACCGTTCACCAGTCCCTCACCAGTCACTGCAGGAGCCTTAGGGTCCCGCACAGGGGATGCTAACTTACAAGTCTCTTTTTTATTTGATTTGATTTGATTTGATTTGATACAGATGTTTGAAGGGAAGGAAAAGCGGCTGGAGTTGATCCAGGAGCTGCGCACCAGCCACGCACTACAAGAGGACGACAGGCTGCTGAAGAAAGCCGAGAAGCAAGTGACGCTGGCCTTGCAGCGGCAAAGGAACTTGCATGAGCACAAGGTTCTTTCCTTTTCTTTCTTGTTACGTCATCTCCCCAGATTTTTATTATTGGGCAGGCCGCGTTACAACAACAGTAAAAGAAATGACAAAAAAGAATCCCCCCAACCCCAACACTCTGTCACAGTTGGTGTTTTTAAATAATAGACTGCACTAGCAGTCCAGAATTGGAATGGGATGTGCCCTTGCTGAACTGGATGTGGTCTTATTTTATTTGCAAAAGAAAAAAAAAAAAAACACACCACATTTTAAAAAGGTTCTCCCTTCCGATTTTCTTAAATATTTGGTTATTCTACTCAGTAGAATGGGGGCTCAACAGAATGAAAAGTAGTAAAGGCAAAAAAAAAAAAGACATAAAATTTTTTTAAAAAGCAGCACTTGTTTATGAGTTTTGGAGCTGTTCATAGTGCATGGTTAAACCACATCTAAAATATGTTGTTATCTCATGGTATTTGGTATCCTGTGACTTTCATCAGTGACACCTGACAACAGCTGCTCATTGCAGCTCTTCCCCAAAAGTTGTAAATGTTTTCCTACGGCATTTGTCCATGTATACAGTTTTCAATGTTTCTGACTATAGAGTAGACATACTTTTACTATCTCTCCCACTTATGTCTAAATCAGTGTGAAAAAGAATCCATTTGCAGAGTCTTGTGTTATAAGAAAGCTAATAGTGGAGTTAATATGCCCCACCCTGAGTAGTGTACACAACACTTGTGCCATGTGGGACTGGGCATAAATGGTAGGCAGCTTGAGAATGAGTGTGTTACTCCTTTCCCATGACACCAGGCTTGTAGGTGCTCTCTGAGTTTGGGGTTGATGGTGTAGAGAAGGGAGGAAGAAAGCCACAGTCTGTGAGACCCAATAGAGGGACAGAGAAAGAAAAATGGAATGTGGACACTAGAGTTTCTGAATCTGGAGGTCTCAGAGCCCTCAAAATGACAGAGACAAGGCTGCGCTTCTGTGCAGATGGGAACAGAATGGCCTAGAAACACCAGGACCCAAGAACTGGATGGAAAAATGCCCTCCTTGGCCCTTCAAAGTTTCTGATTATAGACTTTACCAGGTATACCTAAGCCAGCCCAGGCTTTTTCACTCATGTGTCCCAGTTCATAGGTAAACACTTGACTGTTACCATCTCAGCTAAGAGCTGAAGGAGTCGTTAACAGAAAGAGCTGTCCCTTAACAAAGGACTCGCCCTGCTTACCTTCTGCTGTACCTAGATACACCACTGATACACAGGAGTCTGAGGGAGGGGGCAACTCACATCTACCTCCAGCTGATCCTCTCCTTTTCTCCTCTTATATTTTCTTTGGGGCATAGTACAGAAAATGCACAGTTCCCAATTATGTAATGCATTGCGTGATATGATCACAGCAAAATCACCTTCCTAAAGATTTTTACTTAATTTTCAAATTAGAGTGTACTACCTTAGCATACTCAAATTTCCTGCTAAAGGAGAAGGTTGGACACGAACAGGTAGCCATTTGGGATTTTAAGGGTTGCATCTGCCCCCCAACGGAGGGAGCTTGTGATCCTGAGACAAGGAGAGAATCTGTTTGTGGTCTCTGGGCTGAATGACCACTGTGGATAAATGTAAGGAGCAGTGAGGCACTCTTAGTGTGGCCCTTTCTTTCTACCTCCTCCTGTCATATAAGTAAAGCTGAACTTTGTGGTTAGAAAGTATGTGCCGGCTGCGTGGAGGTAAGGGAGGGTATTGGCGCTAACGTCCACGCTTGAATGACAGTCTCCCACAGCCTCATCATCTTTGAGACCTATGTGGGTTTCCTCCCTTCAGAGACAAACCAGAGAAGAACACAGGACAGAAGAACTGTCAGGACTGAGGGAGCGTATGACTGGGAGATGAGCCCTTTCCCTTAAACTGGAGGATAGGAAAAGGAACAGGATGAAGTTGCAAAGGATTCAATCTTCCTAAACACTTTTATTCTCTGTGTCAAAGCCAGGACAGACAGATCCATAAATAGATACTGTGGCTTATTCCTGCCAGAGAACTCCAGGCCCCAACTTTACCTCAATGATTACATAGACCTATAGCTTTTTCTTGCTCTGTTTCAAAGATAGTTCTTAATGACTTTGAAGTTATTTAAAAGAATATGGTACCACAGTTTCTACTTTCATGTTATTCAAGACCTTAGAATTCCCCAAACTTGTGTCAAAGGACCAAGCGTTAAAAAATTAAAAGGTATCATGAGTGAATTTCTAGAAGGTTCTATTTTATTGAATTCCAAAAAAATTTTTTAAAAAAACCTTGACATTTCCCTTCATATCTGGGAAGATAGAAGTACTTTACCTTCTGGATAAAAATGGGAAAAAAATAATTTGTGTGGGTATTAGCAAATGTTTTGCTAACTCCCCCTCATAATTTGAGGACTGTAATCTGTCAGTGACTGACTAAGTGATCCACTTTCTCATGTCTCAGTTTGATCATAAGTTTTCTTTTTTTTTTTTTAAGATTTTATTTATTTATTTGACACAGAGATAGAGATCACAAGTAGGCAGAGCAGCAGGCAGAGACAGAGGAGAAGCAGGCTCCCCACTGAGCAGAGAGCCCCGATGCGGGGCTCGATCCCAGGACCCTGAGATCATGACCTGAGCTGAAGGCAGAGGCTTTAACCCACTGAGCCACACAGGTGCCCCTGATCATAAGTTTTCTTAGTAAGAATCCTTGGGGCCAGGCTGCCTGGGTAGCTCAGTGGGTTAAGCCTCTGCCTTCGGCTCAGGTCATGATCTCGGGGTCCTGGGATTGAGCCCGGCATCAGGCTCTCTGCTCAGCGGGGAGCCTGCTTCCCCATCTCTCTCTGCCTGTCTCTGCCGACTTGTGACCTCTCTCTCTCTCTGTGTCAAATAACTAAATAAATAAATATTTAAAAAAGAAAAGAAAAGAATCGTTGGGGTGATGCCAACCTAGTGATAATATTCCTAATAAACACTAAGTGTATTCTGAAAATGAAGTGACTGTCAGGAGTTCTGGGTAATCCAGCATCCCTCCATACACATCCACATGCTTAGTAGAATTTGTATCCTTAAAAATGTACTATTGTTTTTCAGGTCTCACTGGTCGAAAACCATTTGGCTGGACTGGAAGGAAGGGCGCTGGCAGACATGTTTGACTTCCTGTCCAAAGAGCTGGTGAGACTACAGGAAGAGCGGAGGATCCATGCTTTTGCCATGCTGGCCGAGCGGCAGCGGAGGATGCGAGAAGCTGAAGAGAGTGGTCGGCGCCAAGTCGAGCAAAGGCGCCTGCGGGAGGAGGACCAGATATTTAAGGAGGCAAGTGGGGGGCGCAGCTGGATGGCTGAGAGCTATTTGTAAGGAGCCGAATCAAACCAGAGGATACTCATGATACGAAATGGCACTTGTTTTTTATTTCTCATTGTGTTCTACAAATATGTATTATGTTCCTATGATGTTCTAGGCACGTGAGATACTTTGGAGGGAAGAAACCAGACATGGTCCCCTTTCTCCTGGAGCTTAAGTACTATGTAACATGCAAATATGTGTAGAATGAGAAAATATAGTAAGTTTCATGAAGCAAACAGATGGGGCCCAGTGGCACATTTTAAACAGGTTACTGTTATTGCTGTGTGGAGAACAGGTTGGAAGGAGTACAGAGTGGAAACCAGGAGATCAGGAAGGAGGCCATGGAAGTAGTTAAAGCCAATGAGAAACATGAAGAAGTCAAGGAAACCGTCCAGTTTCTGGCCTAATCAACTGGAAGATGATAGTACCGTTTTTAGATGTGGGAAAGTGGACATGGAATTAATTTAGGGGCAGGGGTAGAATCAAGAATTTGATTTTTATTAGGCTTGAGACATTCTAGTGGAGGTGTCATTTCAGCAGATGGATAGCCACAATGGAATTTAGAAGAGAGTTTTCGGCTAAAGATATAAACTAGAGCACCAGGTTTGTAAGTTAGAATTCTGACCAAGACCTAATGAGTATGAAATTCCAAAGTGAGCAGGATGTAAATTCAGAGGAAGTCCAGGGAGCTAATAATATCTCAAAGCACTCACCCTCATCAAGGATATAAAAGCTCAAGTGTTAAAATTGAAGGGGATTTATGAAGAAGATTCCTTTAGAGGGAAATGTGCTGTGACTACCCGTTACACCCCCTACCACACACACCAAAACACACTCAGAGGTTGGTTTCTTTTACTGTAGTCATCGGCTAGCTTGATACATACTCTTTCAGTTAGGGTGTCTGACCCCCTGGGAATGGAGAAGAGGGAAGCTGGGCCAGCTGGCTGCCAGGGACAGATGAGGCTGTATGGGTGGCTAGCACACCCAGAATATGTCAAGGCAAAGGCTGTGTGAGAGTTTCCCCTGGTCCAAATGTGGGCCACATGGGAAAGAGAGATAGAACCAACCTGGATCTTAAACATTTTCCAAGAGGGCTGTCTGAATTGTATGTGTGGATACTCAGTTTAAAAAAAAAAAAAATGTGTCCATTTGAGATCTTCTTACTTGATCTGAGATTTTCAGGATTTACCCAATTCTTTTCTTTTTTTTTTTTTTTTAAGGATTTATTTATTTGACAGAGAGAGACACAGCGAGAGAGGGAACACAAGCAGAGGGATTGGGAGAGGGAGAAGGCAGGCTTCCCATCAAGCAGGGAGCCAGATGCCGGGTTTATTCCCAGGACCCTGGGATCATGACCTAAGCTGAAGGCAGACACTTAATGACTAAGCCACCCAGGCGCCCCAATTTACCCAATTCTTACGGAATTAGGATTGATTCTTGAATAGTATTTGTTTTGTGTGTGTGCTTCAAGTTTTTTTTTTTTTTAAGCCAAAGAGATTGCTCTCCCTCTACACAGTGTAAGAATTTTTGAGTTACATATTGTCATGTTCAGCCTTTTAACTGGGGTGGCAGATCATCTACAATGTGTAACAGCCTATAATCCATATTCTAGCTATTTATGATTGCATACTTAGGGAGGAAAACTGTAAAGAAAAGGGAATGTTTACCATAAAGTCATGACAGTGGAAAGGGTCTGTGGTCAAGAAGAACCCATAGCGGCCTTCTAGAATTCTAGCAGTGGCTACATGGGTACTGGCTTTACCCTAATTCAGTGCACAGGACATCTATCACTGTGCACTTTTTAAAATGTGTGTTCTATTTCACAATTTCAGAAAGCTTAAAAAAGCAGCAGTCCAGGGTATGATTGATCAGAGACCCAGGATCCTTCTAGCTTTCTACATTTTTGTCCTTAAGGCATGGCCCTCATGGCAGTTTAAGATGACTTCTGGTGCTCCAGGATTATGTCCCCATGATGTGAGACATGAAAAGAGAAAAAAAAAATGCTAGGTTTCTCCCTTTAAGAATCTTTCTTTCCTAGGGTCACCTGGGTGGCTCAGTTAAGTGTCCAATTCTTGATTCCGCTCAGGTCACGATCTCAGGGTACAGAGAATGAGTCCTGCCTCAGGCTACATGCTGGCTCGAGCCTGTTTAAGATTCTCTCTCTCCCCGACCTGGTTGTGTTCTCTCTCTCTCTCTCAAAAAAAAAAAAAAATCCTTTTTAGAAAGTACACGGATGACTTCTGCGTGTATTCCCTCAACCAGAACTATGGTTACTAGGAAATGTAGTCTTTAGACACCTGTTGGCAAAACTAAAATTCAGGGGCTCTGTTATGTAAGAGGAAGGAGAGAAAGGACATTGGGAAATAACCTCTTAGTCTCTGCCACAGTTGGGTAGTTTGACCAAGTCACATTACTGGAAAGAACAAAGCCAGGATCCAAAACAGGGTTATTGACTGAGGCCCATGATCTTTCTGCAGTGTTGTATTGCCCACCCTAGATGGATAGGGCCTGCCCGGAATGGGTAGGTAGGTGGGCTTGAAACAGACTGACCAGACAGGGGACTATTGACTTAAAGAACGAAATAGATGTGCTTAAAAGACATTAGCCAATGTTTGTTCATTTTTTTGTCTTGTTTACAGTAGTATTCCTGTTCTTAGTAAGGAGGTATTTTTATTTTTTGCAGGTGATGAAAGTTCACCAAAGTACTGTAACTTCCTATCTGGAAGACATAATACTGAACACCGAAGAGAACACTGCAGAAGAACAAGCCAGGGCAGAAATTGAGAAGATGGCTAAGGAAATCAATGACATTGCTTATGAAATGGAGAGCCGGTTCGTACCAAGAGACCAGAAGGCAGGATGGGCAGTCCATTTACTGTTACCGATATATATTTTTCAAGAGCTTAAGATTTTACCTTCAAGGAGAAACACGTCTATATCTCCTGCTTCAGTGTCCATTGTTTTAATTGCATAACTCCTTAGAAGTCAACATGCCTAACCCTTTGTATGGCAGGAGCGCTGGGAGTAGGATTTTCAGTGATCCTCTGCAGTCTGGATCACTAACATGTACTTTTACAATACCACAAAGCATGAAAGCAATGTGAATAAGTATGTGCAGTATTACTTCACCCCAAAGGTTTTGGCTTCATAAGTATATTTCTAACATTCCTTTCCTGGCAGTCAGGTTAACTAAAGGACAGGATCAAACCTGAATTTGCATGAAGTTAACCAAGCCCTGTGGCAGAATAATATTTCAGACAACTTAATCAAGGAAAAGGCAGTGGTGGGATTTGAGCAGTGGAGTCCTTCACATAAGGAGAACTTGAGTAGAAATCAGCAGCTCAAGTAAGGCAACAAAGGAAATAGTTTAATTTGTTTTTTATTTTTTAGTCGAACTCAGCTTCAGTCAGAGGAGATTGTTGCTGAGTTGGTTTATAGTTTCCTGATCCCAGAAGTGCAAAAGGACTATGTCAAAGAAAAAGGTAAGCCAATGTAACACTTCACTTTGTGATTTCGTTTAAAAGAGATAAACTATTTTCAATATCCCTGAGATTTAAAATTGAGCAGAAGTATAAAGAAATTTCTGAAGGAGAATCACTGAGTTTTTTATTTCAGAGCTTGTCAAGTTCTCTTCATGCTCTCTGATTCCAGAGTATAATCAGTCTAGTATAGATGCGATACAGTTCTAGTAAGTGTGACAGAGTATCAAAAGCAAAAGCTTCTTTAAGAATTTGGTTAAAAAAAAAAAGAATTTGGTTTAAGGCAAATGTTGATAATAATGCAGGATTTTCAGAGTGTGCTAGCCTTTTGGAGGTGGGACACACACAGGGTGGATGCTGGAAAGCTGAGATGCTTAAAGGGTTAAATCTATTCTGCTGCTCTGCCTGTGCCCCAGATAACTTAGTTTCTGCCAGGACTGTATCTAAGTATAAATATCTTCACTTGTCAAAAGTGGCATGTCTTGAAGACTGATGCTTTTAGTTAATAGAGAAAGAAAAATATTGTCTTAAAAAATGTTCTTGGGGCACCTGCATGACTCAGTCAGTTAAGCATCTGATTCTTGATTTTGGCTCAGGTCATGATCTCAGGGTCTTGAGATCAAGCCCCACATCTGGCTCCATGATCGACGTGGAGTCTGCTTGAATTTTCCCTCTCCCTCTACCTAACCCCCCAGTCCCCACAGAATACTTCTGTGGAGCTTTCAGCCTATTGGTGATAAGTTACCAGAGACAGAGGGGTGCAACCAGAAGATCAATAAATGAAATAACTTCCAAGGAAGATGGCCAAGTAGGAAGATCCTAAGCTGACCTTGTCCCACAGTTACACATAGATGGCATACACATCAGCGTAAGCAACCCAGAAAACAATCTGAAAACTGGCAGAACACAATCTCAACATCTAAATGTAGAGAAGAGATCATATCAAAAATGGTAGGAAGTGCAGAGACAGGTCAAAAACCAAACTGACCCATGACACTGTCCATGGAAGGGACACTGCAAGCATGGAGAAAGGAAAACAGCATACCCTACACCAGACACCCCAGGCAAGGGGCACCTGCACAGGGAAGATGAATCCCTATAACATTTGGTTTTGAAAACCACAGGGGCTTAACTTCACAAGTTTTACAATCAGCAGGGCTCAACATCTGGTACTTTGTAACTGTGGCTTGGCTCTAGGGAGCCAGAGGGCAATAGGAAACAGTCCCCATCCTTAAAGAGAGAGCATAACAAACAGCTCTACTGGGATACAGCATGGAAGCAGCAGTTTGAGTCTATGAGAAGACTTACTAATCGGAGAACATGTGCTGGAGGGTCAGGGATCTTTAGGAGACTTCTCCAAAACCAAAAGTGCTATCAGGAGCCATTTACCTCCCTCAACCCCAGCCTAGATAAATGGATACCTACAAGGACCAGCAAAGTGCATACTCTACTTAGCTTGCTAACAATATACTCCATTCCCAGGTTCTTCTGGGAATCCCAAGCACTCCACTAAGCAGGAATTCAGCTAAAGCTGTGTCACAAACTTGGCATTATGCAAGCAGCTCCACTGGGCCAGCACCACTCCAAAGTGACTCCTGCCCCAGGGAGAGAGGACGATAACCACACACACATCAGTCAGCTGTGAATCCAGCAACTGGCAGACATTTGGTCTGACTGCATGCCTCACCCACCAATGAAAGCCTCCCAGGGGTCAACAGAGAGAGAATGCCCTATAGTTCAGTGTGACCATAGCTCTGGTGTACATCAGGGCTGACCCAAATCAAGCCCATGGTGACCCCAGACAGCATGGGGACCAAACCCTGCCCACAACAAGCAGACAGTCTTTGAAGATGACTAGACTGAAGGCAAACACAACTCAGCCACAACAGTAGGGCATACACAACATGCACAGGAGACATCCCTGAAATTCCAGGATCTGGTGAACAGGGGAAATTTTAATGCAGGGCACTATAGGACCACCACTTTATACGTCCAAGACTTTCAAGAGCAGATGTAGCCGACTTTCATAACACATAGAAACAGACACAGACAAAAGGAGGAGACAGAGGAATATGTCCCAAATGAAAGGACAGGACAAAATCCTAAGAAAGCTAAAGCAATATGCTTGATAGGGAATTTAAAGTAATGGTCATAAACATATTCATTGGAATGGAGAAAAGAGTGAAGGACTCAGACACACAACAAAGAGAGAAAACACAAAAATACACTGGAGGGAAAAAATAGTACATGAGAGGAAGCATAACACGTCAGTGCTTTGGAGGATAGAGTAATGGAAAATAGATTAAGGAAACTCAACCACACCATCAAGTGTAATAACACTTGCATTGTAGAGATTCAAGAAAGAGAGGACAGAGAAAAGGGTAGGGGGAGAAATTTTTATTTGAAGAAATAATAGCTGAAAACTTCCTAAATCTGGAGAGGGAAACAGAAATCTAGATTCAGGAGGCACAAATCACCTCCAACAAAATCAACCCAAGGAGGTCCACACCAAAGTACATGGTAATTAAAATGGCAAAAAGCAGTGGTAAAGAATTTTTAAAGCAGCAAGAGAAAAAAAAAAAAGTTACATATAAGAAATACCCTGTAAGACAGCTGATTTTTCAGCAGAAACATTGGAAGCCAGAAGGGAGTGGCAGGATATATTCAAAGTGCTGGAAGAGAGAAACATGTGACCGAGAATACTCTATCCAAAAAAGCTTATCATTCAGAATAGGAGGAGAGAAGAGAAAGTTTGCCAGACAGAAGTTGGAGGAATTCATGACCGCTAAATCAGCCTTACATGAAATGTTAATGGGACTCTGAGTGGAAAGGAAAGACCATAAGCAGGAGTAAGAATAGGAAGCACAAAACCAGTAAAATAAAGTATATCTATAAAAATCAGTCAAGGGATTCACAAAATGAAAGCATATAAAGTATGACACCATATACCTAAAACATGGTGGAGGAGAGGAATAAAAATTTAGTGCTTTTAGAATGGGTTCAAACTTAAGCAAACAACAACTTAATATAGACTGCTATCTGCACAAGACATTACATATCAACCTAATAGTAACCACAAATCAAAAACCAGTAATATATATGCCAAAAAATTGAGAAGGGAATCCAAGTACATCACTAAAGAAAGCCAGCAAATCAGGAGAGAAAAGAGTAAGAAAGGAATAGAGAACTACAAAACAACCATAAAACACGTACTTATTGCTATTTGTTACTTAGCTATCAATAATTACTTTGAATATAAATGGACTAAATGATCCAATCAAAAGACACAAGATCATAGAATGGATAAGAAACCAACACCCCTATATGCTATCCACAAAAGAGTCATTTCAGACCTAAAGACACATGCAGATTGAAAGTGAAGAGATGCAGAAGGGTTTATCATGCAAATGGAAGTGAAAAGAAAGCTGGGGTACCACTTAGTTCAAATAGACTTGAAAACATGGGGCACCTGGGTGGCTCAGTGGGTTAAGCCTTTGCGTTTGGCTCAAGTCATGATCTCAGGGTCCTGGGATCGAGCCTCACATTGGGCTCTCTGCTCATCAGGGAGCCTGCTTCCCCCACCCCCAACCACCTGCCTCTCTGCCTACTTGTGATCTCTCTCTCTGTGAAATAAATAGGTAAAATCTTAAAAAAAAAAAAAAAAGAAAACAAAGACTATAACTGGAAACAAAGACACTATGTAATCATAAAGGGAATAACAATCCAACTAGAAGACAACAATTGTAAATATTTATGCACTCAACATGGGAGCACTCAAACACATAAAGTAGCTATTAGCATACTTAAAGAGAGTAACTGATAGTAGTAATACAATAATAGTAGGGGACTTTAACACCCCGTGTACATCAATGGATAGATCATCCAAAGAGAAAAATCAAGGAAACAGTGTTTTGAATGACCCAGCAGACCAGATGGACCTAAGAAATACTCAGAAATTTCCATCCTAAAACAGTGGAAGAGGCATTATTTTCAAGCACACATGAAACATTCTCCAGAATAGATTACATGTTAGGCCACAAAATAATTCTCAACAAATTTAAGGAGTTTGAAGTCGTATTTGCATCTATTCCAACGACAATGCTATGAAACTAGAAATCAACCACAGGAAAAAATCTGGAAAGACACTACATAGAGGTTAGATTACATGCTACTAAACAATGAATGCATCAGCCAAGAAATAAAAAAATACATGGAGATAAATGAAATGAAAACACAATGATCCAGAATCTTTGAGATGTAGCAAAATCTGTTCTAAGAAGGAAGATTATAGCAGTACAAGCCAACCTCAAGAAAAATCTCAAACAATCTAACTTTACACCTAAAAAAGCTAGAAAAATAACAAGCAAAACCCAAAACCAGAAGGAAGGAAGTAATAAAGATAAGAGAAAAACATGAATTAAAAAAAACCTAAAAAACAAGGGAGGAAAGCAAGAGCTGTTTCTTTGAAAAGATCAACAAAATTGATAAACATTTAGCCAGATTCATAAAGAGAGAGAGAGAGAGAGAGAGAAACAAAGAGGACTCAAACAAAATGAGAAAAGAATGAGGAGAAATAACACCACAGAAATACCAAAGGTTATGAGACTATTATGAAAAATTATATGCTAACAAATTCAACACCAAGAAGAAATGGATGAATTGCAAGAAATATATAACCTCTCCAGACTAGATCAGGAAGACATAGAAAATTTGAAGATTGATCATGAGCAGGGGAGATGAATCTGTAAACAAAAAAACTTTCAACGAACAAAAGTTTAGGACCAGGTGGCTTCACAGGTGAATTCTACAAGCATTTAAAGAAGCATTTAAAGAATCATACAATCATTCTTCTCAAACTATTCTGAAAAATAGGAGAGGAAGGAAAGCTTTCAAATATAGTCTATGAAGCCAGCTGTTAGCCTGATACCAAAACCAGATAAAGAAGCTACAAAACAAGAGAACTACAGGCCAGTACCTCTAATGAACATAGATGCAAAGATTCT